TCAACCCGATACATCCAAATCAGGCCGTGGTGTGGCCAACATAATTTGTTTTAGAGGAAATCTGGACTAATTTTCTATGCTCCATTAAAAATGAACGAACAGCGATGACGGCCGAAAAATGCCATTATTTCTCATTTTTCGTCTAAACTCACAAAATAAAACCTTAATTCTAAGACTACAGTATTTCTAAGTACAAAATTCGGTTTTACTGCAGGTGTCACAACAGTATTAATTTCTGCTATATATTCTTACCAAAAATGCGCAAGTTTGAGCAGATGTAACTAATTCAAAACAAACTTCTGAGAAGTTTCCTTTTCAGATCTTGTAAAACCATTCTTTATAAAGATTTTAGTACCAAAAAATACATAGCCATCCAGCAAGGCACGCAAGTTTGTTTCGGTCGAAGTCGAGCAGGTGCTTGAAAATCTAGTCCAGGGCCTAATCACACCCCACTCTTGACAGTATACAGAAAAATCAGCACGCCCTAAATTTTAATAAATCTGGTCAATACAGGAAGTTTACATGTTGTTTTTCATCTCATAAAAAAATTCAGCTCCAGTCTCATATCAAAATGCCCGAATCGGAAGGGAAGATTCTGGGATTATTTTTCGTCAGCCATGATTTGACGTGAACCAAAGTGTAATACTGTTATGACACCTATAAGCCCTATGTTGACCAAACTGGCATTGATGATACATCTAAGGATGCACACTACCAGGCTTGCTTCGGATGTTGAATCTGACCTACATTTTCTGGAGTGAGTGAACAGGTTAAATATTTTGGTGCAGGTTTCATTTCCAAGTAACTATGAGCTCTTTAATGACCAAACTTGCATGGATGATACATCTAAGGATGCATTCTACCAGGCTGGCTTTGGTTGCTGAATCAGAACTACATTTTCTGGATGAGTGAAGAGGTTAAATTTTTATGCAGGTTTTATTTCCAAGTAACTATGAACCCTACAGTTGAGCAAACTTGCATGGATGATACATCTTAGGATGCACACTAATGGACTTGCTCCGGATGCTGAATTCGACATATATTTTCCAGAAATGGACCTCGTAAAAGTTATTGGTGCAGGTCTATTACCAAGAAACTCTAAAGCTTATATAAACCAATCTTGCACAAATGATGCATCAAGGGATGAAAACTCTCAAACTTGCGTCAGATGCTGAATTTTAATCACATTTTCATGATGAAGATTGAAGAACTAGGTTGAAGTTTTTATATACGTCTATTCCAAAGTATCAGATCAAAATTGCATACATTTTGCATTTTTGGATGTACACTCTTTGTTGAGTAATTGTGTGACTTTGCCTTACTTAAAGACAACATTCATTGAGATGAGCTCTGTAATTTTCTGATTACCAGTAACCTATGTTTATTTCATTAAATCAATCATAATCTATCTACATGTCTGCATTATTTCCATAATTTATAGTTGAATATTTTCATTTTTGATACCATACAAATTGACAGTGTTTTAAAATTTACCAAAATAGCAAATTTTGACTCTGTCCTCTTTTCTGTTGAATCATGTAGAGTATCTTTATATTGAAATAGGTACTGCAGTATCAGATTTGAAGAGAAAGTTATCAACAGATTCTGATGAACAGACAATAAAAAGAAAAAGAAATGAAGATACAAGTGGAACAAAGACTTTGATCAACAATAAGGCTTCAAATTCTACACAAATTCAAGAGAGCAATCACTCTCAAGCAAATAGAAAAACCACTCTCTCCTCTCCTCATTTCGATTCTGCAGCATCTCAAAAATTAACGGCTGCTAATGGAAATAAACTGGTGCACCCACAAAATGTGATCAATTCATTACATCGTAACAAACACATAAAAGATAATAAAAGAGACAGTAAAGCATTAGTGCAACAAAGACGATCATCAGAGGCTATGGGATCGGGTACCAGTAAAATTCCAGCTGGTCAGAGTACCAGTAAAATCCCGCTCTGTCCAGGTCACAGTAAGCCCTGCTCTATGACACAAACTAGGAAGAAGGGAGATAACTTCCTCCGATGGTTCTTTACATGTGGGGTCTATCCAAGGGCTAAGCAGTGCAAGTTCTTTAAGGTAAAATCAAAAATGTAAATTCACACTGTTCAGTAAGTTTTAAATGTTATTTTTTGTTTACAAGGTTTGTTTGTTGATTTTGATAAGCATTCTATGCCTGAAAGGTGACTCAATGGCAGTGTTCTGCTGTTCAATCATCTTTCCAGATTTTTCAGTAACTATTCGATCAGTTGTCTGACAGGAGCAGTTTTATCCTTTGTTAACGAGGCTGGGGCGTGGCAGCCATTTTCAGAGTATTTTGATCTCCTTTAAAAGAAGAGCTACATATAAAGATATACAAAAATGATCAAATTTTAAACCTAAAATGTATGAATTTTTTCTTTGCCAAATGATAGTTGACAGCTTAAGATACAGTATCTAAAAAAATAAGTTAAATCTGGTGGTTAATTTGTGGTTAATTTGTTGACCCCCCAGCCTCCTTAATTACTGTGTTTTTTGTTTATTCATTACAATATTTCAAGTTCTTTATGAAGTTGTTTGTCTTTTAGTGGGCTGATGAGAGTTTTCCTATCTGTCCAACCCATGGAAAACCAGCCGCATTCAGAACAGTCCTAAAAGAGGGACCAAACAATGGGAAAAAATTCTTTGCTTGTCCACTACCAAAACAGAAGCAGTGCGGATTCTTTGAGTGGGCGGAGGGTTTCTAATTTTCGAAGAAAAAGAAGACTTTGTATTATTGTTATATACAATGTACATCGATACATTGTGTTGCTTTCCATTAAATGTTTGGATGTGCAATAAAATTTTTACATGTATATTTTGATTTTTGTTGTTGTCCAAATTTGTAAGATCTTTTAAAATCATGATAAAATCTTGTACCAAGTAATATGTGTATAGTAAACAAGAAGTTCTATAGATTTTACTGCAGATTTTGGATCTTGAGGTTGGTATAGGGAGTGTTTTTTTAATGATAAGTTAAAGATATATTTAAGGTGGGATCAGGTGCCTATGAGGAGTTTGCATGGTCAAGACAACGGAACATTCCTTAGTCAAAGGACAAGGTAGGGTAGTGGCCGAATCGGGCCCCTTATTTGATGTAAAAATCAGAACACTAGTGTCGCCCTTCTGGTGCAGTGGTTGGAGCGTCTGCTCCTGAGTTGCGAAGTAAGGAGTTCATCCTTACATTGATGGTTCGAATCCCACTGTGGGACGTGGAGACCGGTCCTGCGGACGAGACTGTATAAACCATGGTCCAGTGTCACAGTAGGTGCTGCATGAAAAAGATCCCTCCCTGCTCAATGGCCCTGAGTGCCAAGTATAAGACAAAACTTGCAGCTCTCAACAGGCAAATGGTGGCGTCTCCATATGAGTTAAAAATATTCTCGAGAGGGACATTCAACAATATACACTATACATGGAGGCCACAAGACCAAATTTCCTCAATTCTGGTGGAATTTCAGCATATTTGAGACACTTTTCTCATAGCATAGAGCGCAAGCTTCCTATCAGATGTTTACATTTAAACTGCCTCTGATACAAGTGTATAAGATATATAAATTTGGTAGATAGGCAAGCTTGTGCTCTATGTTTTCCGAAACAAAATGTGCTGTAAAATCGATGAAAATTTGCATAAAAATGAGAAATTTCGAAAATTGACCTATTTTCTGACCTCTCTATGACCTATATGTACATGTATTCCAAAACTTAAGACCAATACTCATTTTGCTGCAAGGACGACAACAGATTGTTATTAACAGGTCCAGTACAATCAGTACATTTAGCTACGTAGGTAGAATTACCTACGTAGCTTTATTTACCTACCTCAGGTAGCTTTTTTTAGCTATTTCAATGTAACTTTTCTTTTTATGGAAAAGAGACAAAAAATCGCAGTTAAATGACTATTGATGTTTATACTAGGGAGACTTTAAAAAACAATCCAAAGCAGAGATAGTTTAAACATTGCTGCGTTTGGTCTATTTAGAGCAAAACATGTAATTCCATTGTTTGGTTATCTGTCTGTGCGGTGAGGCATGACTGAGTATGATTACTTTACATTGTGCTGAATAATTGCCGACCTATTATCATGTTAACCAGAACTGGACTTCTTTGTCATTTCATTCATGTAGTAACTGCTCTAACTGTCATACATAGCCCCAAACCTTTCAGAACTTTGATTGCAATTGCGCAGAAAAAGACATTTCTTCAAGAGGGAATTTTTCATGAATTGTTTTCAGATGAGTTCAAAGTTGAAAATGATCACTGCATCAATATGATAGTTTTTGCACACCATGAGAAAAATTGATTTTTTGTAGAATAAATTCATTTGGTAGCTAAATCAAGCTACCTGGGGTAGGTAAATAAAGCTACGTAGGTAATTCTACCTACGTAGCTAAATGTACTGATTGTACTGGACCTGATTAATAAACAGTTGTGGCGACTGTCTATCAGTTTCTTGAATGATCACACAGGTTTTTCCTTTTTCCATTTTATATACATATGCAAACATATAAACAGTACAAAAACAAACATACATTAGACTGAAAGTAAGAAACATGCCACATTGGAAATAGTTACAACATACATATTATCTCAAAATCCTAGAAATATGTGTCTACTACTGCACAAGCTCTTCTATTAAGTCTACCTTTTACCTTAATTCTACAAGTGACTGAAATCTATATCAAAAACTTTAATTAAACGATCTGACTATCTCTGACTTCTGACGAACGTCTGCTACACTTCTGCTCTACTTATTTCCTGTTTCTAAAACTAGACAAAAGATAAACAAACGGACAAAAACGGAAACGGACTAAAAAATACACCATAAACTCTGACCTGACAAAAACGGACACATAAATAATTACACTTATGACATACAATAACAATGTCAGAAAATCATAATAAAATAGAAATGAATAGGAAATTAAACATTGTTAATGTTAACACATTCACAACACTCCCGCGACCAAAAATGAATCATGGTTTTAACCAATCTTTGATCTTCTCTACTGCTCTACAGGCGGCTCGTCTCTTAGGTCTCTCTTGTGGTGAGTCTCTAGCATCCGCTTCTGTTTTTGAATTGGTCACCGTGGGATTTTCGGATGAGACACTTTTATCACTTTCGGTACTTTGATCCTTCCTGTCATTGGACTCTGTTTCCTTTGAACACTCGATCGGATATAAAAGATTTAGTGGCCTATTAAGGGTCTTCTTATTTGGAAGTAAAACCTTTCCGGAACGGATCTGTCCATCTCTGCTAACGGTCAGTTCACACACACGTCCTACTTTCCAGGTTCCACGCGGAAGTTCATCTTTAACCAACACCACATCTCCAATCCTTGGCTCCATACTGTGCTGAATTCTTCCTTCCTTCAGTCTGTATGCTGTTCTTTCTCGCAAACTCAGGAGATAGTCATCTCGCCAGGATTTCCAAAAGGCATCAAGATGTTTTTGTCCCTTCTTCCATGTCTGTAATAACTTCTCAGCACTGCTGATGTTAGGTAGATACTCTGTGTCCTCTGTATCTTCTTCTTCACTATCAGGAATACCAATTTTAGGATTCAGTGTCAGGAAGTGAGCTGGTGTGAGAATTATGTTAGAATTTATGTCATCTCCCACATAAACTAATGGCCTTGAATTAACAACTGCCTCAGTCTCTGCTAATAGAGTTCTTAGTTGTTCACTTGTAAGACACAGTTTCCCAATAGTTTTTCGTAGGCATCTCTTCACTACTCCAATGAGACGCTCGTAGAAGCCTCCCATCCATGGGGCCAGTTCGACTATGAACTGCCATTTGATATCTTCATTTGCGATATAGCTCTGCACATCTGGATCCCTGACTGTTGAGGTCCAAATTTTCTCAAGCGCACTACTTGCCAACTTAAACTGGGAAGCATTGTCAGAGATAAGTTCTTTCGGTTTTCCCCATCGAGCAATGAATCGTCTCAAGCCAAGAAGGAACTCTTCAGTCGACATATCTTGCATAAGCTCGAGATGGATACCTCTGGTGACTAAACATGTGAATAGGCACACCCACACTTTCTTGGTCCCAGTGTCTGTTTTCACATAAATAGGGCCGAAGTAGTCGACACCAGTGTAAGTAAATGGCGAAGCCTCATTCACTCTCTTCTTTGGTAAGGGTGGCATTACAGGCATTCTGTATGGTCCACCTTCATGTCGCTTGCATATACTACAATTCTGCAGTACTCTTCTCACTTGAGAACGTCCTTGAGGAATCCAATATGTCTGTCGGATTAAGGATAGTGTCTGAGATATTCCAACATGAAGTGATTTCCTGTGGTAACTGTCTATGAGTAGATCTGTCACATGATTTTTCTTTGGCAGTAAAATTGGTGTTCTAGCTCCTTCGGTCAGGTGTGCAGCTCCAAGTCGACCAACGCATCTTATAATTTTGTCTTCATCCAAAATGAGTCCTAATTGGTTAACTAAGTTAAGCCTCTTTCCTTCTGTTAAAGCACTCTTTACTTCTTTATAGTTCTCATTTTGGATACTCCTTATCCAAAGTAACTTTGCCTCACTCAGTTCTGTTGCAGTTAATGTACCAGAAAAGGATTTTTCCTTCTTAATTTTACTGATGAATCTAAGTATCCATGCCGATACTCTGACTAATTTAGCAAAGGACGAAAATTGCTTGTCGTCTAGGCTAAACGGTTTCTTGCATTCAGCAGGAGTGTCCGAGCATCCATGAGGATCCTCCCCCACTAACAGTTTGGTTTCATACACTCTAGATTTCTTGTACTCTGAAGCAATAGCTTCACTGTGATTTTCACTCGGAGTTGGATTCCATATCGGCCACTGACTTTTGCTCTCTTTCAGCCATGCTGGGCCATTCCACCACTGTCTGTTTTCTTGCAATATTTCCACTGTACCACCTCTGGTAGCAATATCTGCTGGATTATCAGTAGAAGCCACATATTGAAATTCAAGGTCACTGCTCTTCTGAATTTCCTTCACTCTGTTTTCCACAAAAACTGTCAAGGGCTTCTTAGTCTTTATCCAATGTAAGACACACTGTGAGTCTGTCCAGAGTATTTTCTCACACACTGTTAGTTTTAGTTGACTGTGAACAAAGTTTAGACTCCTTACTCCAATGAGAACTGCTAGAAGTTCGAGACGAGGCATAGTAATTGTCTTTGTCGGTGCTAGACGAGTCTTGGAAAATACTAAGTTGCTGATGCTTGAATTGGTAGTTGTCATCTGAAGGTAAATGGCAGTCGCAAATGCTTTTGCAGATGCATCACAAAAACACAAAAGTCTGTAAGACACCTCTCCTGATAGTCCTATATATCTTGGAATCTGACACTTTGGAATCCCTCCTAAATCTGCTCTTATTTCTCGCCATTGTTGTATATCTTCTTCTGTGAGTGCTTCATCCCACTCAAGATTTTTCTTCCATAGAGTCTGAAGAAAAAATTTTGCCTTTAAAGTCACAGGTGTGAAAAATCCAAGAGGGTCGAATATTGACGCAACTACTTGGAGTACTTCTCGTTTGGTAACTGGTACTGTCTTACTCATACAATTTCCACATGGCACTGAAAGTACATCCTCGATGAGATTCCAAGTCAATCCAAGTATTTTTAACTTTTCTCTAGCTGATTGATCTTCATCTGGTATGGTCTCATAAAAGTCCTTGGCATTAGATGCCCAATCTCTCAAGTTCATGGACATACTACTGAATATCTCCTTGGCTTCCTTGTATAGAATTTCTGCTTCTTGAATGTTATCAACTCCTGTAATAACATTATCTACATAAATATTGTTTCGGATGTTTTCAGCTGTCTTGCTTTCATATGTACTAAGGTGATGGTCAACAGTTGCCGCAAGTAAGAATGGACTTGAGATCACACCAAAAGGCACTCTGCAAAATCTGTACACTTGTACATTGCTGTCTACTGTAGCCTTGTTAGCATCCTTCAACCAGAAGAATCTAGTAGCATCACGGTCTTCCTCCTGTAAGCCAATTTGCAAGAACGCTTTCTCAATGTCTGCGGTTATTCCTATCTTCTTAAGTCTAAAGCGCATCAGAAGTCCACATAAATCATGCAGCATCACAGGTCCCCTGTGCAAACACTCATTCAAGCTGGTTTTCTTATGTCCTGACTTAGCCGATGCATCATACACAATCCTTACCTTTGTAGTAGGTTTGGTCAAATCTATCACTGCGTGATGAGGTATATAATGCTTAATACCTGTCTCTCTTTGTTGGGATGGAATTTTCTCTATAATTCCCTTTTTACACTGGTCCTGAATAATGTCATCATACTTGTGCAGTAAATCAGGGTTACACTGTAACTTGTGAAGTAGTGACTTTAGCCTTCCATATGCTAGTTCCCGATTTTCTGGTAACTCAGGATATTCTTCTTTCCACGGCCAGGTGACTTGGTATCTTTTGTTTTCCATTTTTAGTGTGCTGTTGAAATTTTTCAGCGCTTTCTCATCATCTGAAGTGTGGGGAGAATCTTGAATCCCAATAGAATCCAAAGCTCTCCAAACCTGTGTGATCAATGTGGCGACTGTCTATCAGTTTCTTGAATGATCACACAGGTTTTTTCAGAATTGATAGGTTTTCTTGTAGTGCTTTCTCTAGAATAATCAGCTGATCTGTGTGTTCACTTGCTTTGGTCAATAAAAGAAACACCTTTTCACTGTCTTCACTAAATTTCTCTTCTTCGCCTTGTTTAAGCTCTTTGTCTTCTATTGCCAATGACCACTTCTCCATTGTCTCTTCAAGTTTGGCACTGAATTCCTTTATACGTCTAATTGATGTTTCAACATTTTTTAGGAGAGCCGATGGATCCTCCTCTGAAATGTCGGCCGTCACAAATTCTTCACTCCTTTTCATCTCTTTATCTATAAGATTCCTGTACCTGGTACAGAGTCCCTTGAGATAGGTCACAGACATTTTCTTTTAGTTGAGTCAACACAATACGAAAGCTTTTTGGTTCCCACAACGGCTTCCCGGGTTCCGGCACCAATCAGTTGCAGTCCGCCTTATCTCTTATTTCAAAATTTGCAAATGAATTTTTACTGGAAGCATTATGGACATTTTCTGACTGCAGTGCTTTGGATTTCCAAGATTGTTGTGAATGTGTTAACATTAACAATGTTTAATTTATTTTCTATATTATTTTAATTTATTTATATAAAGTGTAAGATTCAATCAATGTGGCGACTGTCTATCAGTTTCTTGAATGATCACACAGGTTTTTCCTTTTTCCATTTTATATGCATATGCAAACATATAAACAGTACAAAACAAATATACATTAGACTGAAAGTAAGAAACATGCCACATTGGAAATAGTTACAACATGCATATTATCTCAAAATCCTAGAAATATGTGTCTACTACTGCACAAGCTCTTCTATTAAGTCTACCTTTTACCTTAATTCTACAAGTGACTGAAATCTATATCAAAAAACTTTAATTAAACGATCTGACTATCTCTGACTTCTGACGAACGTCTGCTACACTTCTGCTCTACTTATTTCCTGTTTCTAAAACTAGACAAAAGATAAACAAACGGACAAAAACGGAAAAGGACTAAAAAATACACTATATACTTTAACCTGATAAAAACGGACACATAAACAATTACATTTAGGATATAAAATACAATAACAACAATCTTACACTTTATATCAATAAATCAAAATAATATAGAAAATAAATTAAACATTGTTAATGGTGACACATTCACAACACTCCCACGACCAAAATTGAATCAAGGGTTTAACCAGTTCTTGATCTTGTCTACTGCTCTACAGGCGGCTTGTCTCTTAGGTCTCTCTTGTGGTGAGTCTCTAACATCCGCTTCTGTTTTTGAATTGGTCACCATGGGATTTTCGGATGAGACACTTTTATCACTTTCGGTACTTTGATCCTTCCTGTCATTGGACTCTGTTTCCTTTGAACACTCGATCGGATATAAAAGATTTAGTGGCCTATTAAGGGTCTTCTTATTTGGAAGTAAAACCTTTCCGGAACGGATCTGTCCATCTCGACTAACAGTCAGTTCACACAAACGTCCTACTTTCCAGGTTCCACGCGGAAGTTCATCTTTAACCAACACCACATCTCCCATCCTTGGCTCCATACTGTGCTGAATTCTTCCTTCCTTCAGTCTGTATGCTGTTCTTTCTCGCAAACTCAGGAGATAGTCATCTCGCCAAGATTTCCAAAAGGCATCAAGATGTTTTTGTCCCTTCTTCCATGTCTGTAATAACTTCTCAGCACTGCTGATGTTAGGTATATACTCTGTGTCCTCGGTATCTTCTTCTTCACTATCAGGAATACCAATTTTAGGATTCAGTGTCAGGAAGTGAGCTGGTGTGAGAATTATGTTAGAATTTATGTCATCTCCCACATAAACTAATGGCCTTGAATTAACAACTGCCTCTGTCTCTGCTAATAGAGTTCTTAGTTGTTCACTTGTAAGACACAGCTTCCCAATAGCTTTCCGTAGGCATCTCTTCACTACTCCAATGAGACGCTCGTAGAAGCCTCCCATCCATGGGGCCAGTTCGACTATGAACTGCCATTTGATATCTTCATTTGCGATATAGCTCTGCACATCTGGATCCCTGACTGTTGAGGTCCAAATTTTCTCTAGCGCACTACTTGCCAACTTAAACTGGGAAGCATTGTCAGAGATAAGTTCTTTCGGTTTTCCCCATCGAGCAATGAATCGTCTCAAGCCAAGAAGGAACTCTTCGGTCGACATATCTTGCATAAGCTCGAGATGGATACCTCTGGTGACTAAACATGTGAATAGGCACACCCACACTTTCTTGGTCCCAGTGTCTGTTTTCACATAAATAGGGCCGAAGTAGTCGACACCAGTGTAAGTAAATGGCGAAGCCTCATTCACTCTCTTCTTTGGTAAGGGTGGCATTACAGGCATTCTGTATGGTCCACCTTCATGTCGCTTGCATATACTACAATTCTGCAGTACTCTTCTCACTTGAGAACGTCCTTGAGGAATCCAATATGTCTGTCGGATTAAGGATAGTGTTTGAGATATTCCAACATGAAGTGATTTCCTGTGGTAACTGTCTATGAGTAGATCTGTCACATGATTTTTCTTTGGCAGTAAAATTGGTGTTCTAGCTCCTTCAGTCAAGTGGGCAGCTCCAAGTCGACCAACGCATCTTATAATTTTGTCTTCATCCAAAATGAGTCCTAATTGGTTAACTAAGTTAAGCCTCTTTCCTTCTGTTAAAGCACTCTTTACCTCTTTATAGTTCTCATTTTGGATACTCCTTATCCAGAGTAACTTTGCCCCACTCAGTTCTGTTGCAGTTAATGTATCAGAAAATGACTTTTCCTTCTTAATTTTGCTGATGAATCTTAGTATCCATGCCGATACTCTGACTAACTTAACGAAGGACGAAAATTGCTTGTCGTCTATGCTAAATGGGTTCTTGCATTCAGCAGGAGTGTCCGAGCATCCGTGACGACCCTCCCCCACTAACAGTTTGGTTTCATACACTCTAGATTTCTTGTACTCTGAAGCAATAGCTTCACTGTGATTTTCACTCGGAGTTGGATTCCATATCGGCCACTGACTTTTGCTTTCTTTCAGCCATGCTGGGCCATTCCACCACTGTCTGTTTTCTTTCAATATTTCCACTGTACTACCTCTGGTAGCAATATCTGCTGGATTATCAGTAGAAGCCACATATTGAAATTCAAGGTCACTGCTCTTCTGAATTTCCTTCACTCTGTTCTCCACAAAAACTGTCAAGGGCTTCTTAGTCTTTATCCAATGTAAAACACACTGCGAGTCTGTCCAGAGTATTTTCGCACACACTGTTAGTTTTAGTTGACTCTGAACGAAGTTTAGGCTCCTTACTCCAATGAGAAGTGCTAGAAGTTCAAGACGAGGCATGGTAATTGTCTTTGTCGGTGCTAGACGAGTCTTGGAAAATAACAAGTTGCTGATGCTTGAATTGGTAGTTGTCATCTGAAGGTAAATGGCAGTGGCAAATGCCTTTGCAGATGCGTCACAAAAACACAAAAGTCTGTAAGACACCTCTCCTGACAGTCCTATATATCTTGGAATCTGACCCTTTGGAATCCCTCCTAAATCTGCTCTTATCTCTCTCCACTGCTGTATATATTCTTCTGTGAGTGCTTCATCCCACTCAAAATTTTTCTTCCACAGAGTCTGAAGAAAAAGTTTTGCCTTTAATGTCACAGGTGTGAAAAATCCAAGAGGGTCGAATATTGATGCAACTACTTGGAGTACTTCTCGTTTGGTAACTGGTTCTGTCTTACTCATACAATTTCCACATGGCACTGAAAGTACATCCTCCATAAGATTCCAAGTCAATCCAAGTATTTTTAACTTTTCTCTAGCTGATTGATCTTCATCAGGTATGGTCTCATAAAAGTCCTTGGCATTAGATGCCCAATCTCTCAAGTTCATGGATATACTACTGAATATCTCCTTGGCCTCCCTGTATAGAATTTCTGCTTCTTGAATGTTATCAACTCCTGTAATAACATTATCTACATAAATATTGTTTCGGATGTTTTCAGCTGTCTTGCTTTCATATGTACTAAGGTGATGGTCAATAGTTGCCGCAAGTAAGAATGGACTTGAGATCACACCAAAAGGCACTCTGCAAAATCTGTACACTTGTACATTGCTGTCTACTGTAGCCTTGTTAGCATCCTTCAACCAGAAGAATCTAGTAGCATCACGGTCTTCCTCCTGTAAGCCAATTTGTAAGAACGCTTTCTCAATGTCTGCTGTTATTCCTATCTTCTTAAGTCTAAAGCGCATCAGAAGTCCACATAAATCATGCAGCATCACAGGTCCCCTGTGCAAACACTCATTCAAGCTGGTTTTCTTATGTCCTGACTTAGCCGATGCATCATACACAATCCTTACCTTTGTAGTAGGTTTGGTCAAATCTATCACTGCATGATGAGGTATATAATGCTTAATACCTGTCTCTCTTTGTTGGGATGGAATTTTCTCTATAATTCCCTTTTTACACTGGTCCTGAATAATGTCATCATACTTGTGCAGTAAATCAGGGTTACACTGTAACTTGTGAAGTAGGGACTTTAGCCTTCCATACGCTAGTTCCCGATTTTCTGGTAGCTCAGGAAATTCTTCTTTCCATGGCCAGGTGACTTGATATCTTTTGTTTTCCATTTTCAGTGTGCTGTTGAAATTTTTCAGCGCTTTCTCATCATCTGAAGTGTGGGGAGAATCTTGAATCCCAATAGTCTCCAGCTTCCAGAATTCATCAATAGAAGGTTTAAATGGCAAGTACTCATCCACGGCAGAATGAAGGCAACACTCTGTCAAAGATAAAGTTCCATTGGTTATCATCATCACTTGCTCCTCCTCTTTACTGTAAGCTTCTTGGGTCCTTCCAGTGAG